GCAGCTCGTCTGGCTCCTCCAATGGCTCGTCCGCCTCCGACTGGACACTGGTGACGCCCCGTTCGCTGTGGCAGCAAATCCGGCGGGAGGCCAAGGCCTACTGGGACTGGGAACTGGACTGCGACTCGATCGACACCGCGGTGTCCAAGTACGGCATCCTGCGGATCAGCCTGCTGCGTGCGTTCTGCCTCAAGGTGGGCATCCAGGTGCTGCTGCGCGAGTACAACTTCGAGTCCAGGCACAAGCCCACCTTTGGCGACGACGACATCGTCAACGTGTTCCCGGTGGTGAAGCACATTAGTCCTCGGGCCACGGACGCCTACAACTTTTACACCACGGGCCAGGCCAAGATCCAGCAGGGCATGTTCAAGGAGGGCTACGAGCTGATCAGCGAGGCACTCAACCTGCTGAACAACGTTTTCGGGGCGATGCACCAGGAGAACGGCTCCTGCCTGCGGATGCTGGCCAGGCTTAGCTATCTGCTGGGCGATGCCCAGGATGCCCTGGCCATCCAGCAGCGGGCGGTGATCATGAGCGAGCGGGTGAACGGCATTGACCACCCATCGACCATTTTGGAATACGTACGTGCTCAAGTTTTCCCTCATTAGTTTAAATAATCACTTAGTCTTACACTTTTACAGACACACTTATCACTCTATTCGTTTGCTAACGGCCATGTGGGCATGTCCCTGAAGCTGCTGTACAGAGCACGCTATCTAATGGTGCTCATCTGCGGTGAAGATCATCCCGAGGTGGCATTGATCGATGTAAGTTGAAGCACTTATTGTAATGGGAATGTGATTTAATTCGCAATTATCTGTTCCTCTTCTGTTACAGAGCAACATTAGTTTGATTTTGCATGCACTGGGTGAATACGAATTGTCGCTGCGATTTATCGAGCATGCCTTGAAGCTGAACCTCAAGTACTTTGGCAACAAGGCCATGCATGTGGCGGTCAGCTATCACCTGATGGCCCGCACTCAGTCCTGCATGGGTGACTTCCGCTCGGCATTGAACAACGAGAAGGAAACCTACTCCATCTACAAGTCACAGGTGGGTGAAGTCTACAAATAGTCCCGAAAAAGTCAAGCTAAATTCTACATTTATTTAAAAGCTGGGCGAGAAGCACGAGAAGACCCGCGACTCGGCCGAGTGCCTGCGCCTCCTCACTCAGCAGGCTGTGCTGCTGCAGCGCAAGATGAACGACATCTATTCCAGTGGCAAGCTGACCAGTGACCTGCCGCCCATTCACATCACACCGCCCTCGATGGGATCGGTCCTAGACATGCTGAACACAATCAATGGCATTCTGTTTGTGCAAATTAGGTGAGCAATTTGGTTTGGCCATAGGCAATGGTCACTACAACTCGTTTTCTCTCCCTCAACTACAGCCAAAAAGACATTGTCAAGGTGCGCAGCGAGATTGAAAAGCATTTCAAGGCCAATAGCGCCGAGAACGAGGTGAATGATGCCATCAAATCCATTGTGGCTGCTGCCAACAACAATGGAGAGGCCGAGGAGAAGACCTCGGAGGACATTAAGGAGCAGGCAGCAGCAGCAGCAGCGGGCACGCAGCTAACCAATGGCGATAAGGCCACGACCACTGAGGCGACTTCAAGTTGAACCCTCCGGAGGCAAAGTTAAACAATTGAAATCCCAAGAAGTCACAAAATTTGCCGCCTGTTCTTTGCATTGTCTGTCGCATCGTTAATCGTATTTTGGGACTGAGCAAAATTAAAACAACAATGTTTTGAATAACTACAGCAATGACCTACCAACTGCAACATCAACATCAACAACAACTACCAACATCGTAAAAAAACATAATTGTATATGTTTTTCTTAAAGGCTGCTCTTGTACTGCTCACACACATCGCATCGCGTCGTATTTAGGAATACGCATAGAAGATCCCGTATCCATTTGTGGTATATGGGCCATTAAAATACTTTTAGGCTTAGTCAAGCAAACTATCAGCAACACTATCAAGCATCTTAATCCAACGACCGAGTTCACCCCAAAAACCAGCTATAACACAAAAAGTAGACTTGTTTTCAAACACAAAGTCGTCTAGCTCATACACACATATATGTTTTGTTAACCATTTGCAAACCCGTCAAATGCCTTTTATAGTTTTAATCGATTGCACGTAATTGTATGAATTGTTTTCTGTTGAATCAACTTTACAACGAGTGCAACAACATATTTTACAATAACGTTAAGATGCGTACAATTGGAAAAAGAAACCAGAGAAATTATTGAATGATTACGTTTTTGTTATACAACTATCATATAGATATATATCAGAAAATATATATTATTCATATGTAATGCATACACTTTTGGGTCCTTGGTGTGTCAAGGGTCTCAAGAACATTTATTCATACGAACGAAATGGTTTTTTATTATTAAAAAGGTCGAAAAGCGATCAAATAAAAATGAAGAAGCTGCCAAGTTGATTTCGTATTTGAAAAAGTAGCAATTTTTGCACCTAGGTGTCTTTTGGGATGACACTAAACTTATCCGAACTTATAGTTAAATGATGGTTCAGGTGGGTTAATTATGTAGGAAAACAATACTGGAATGAATAGTCTTAAAATGCAAACTTATGAACATTTACAACTCGGCCGCGATTACTTCCGTTTTCTGCACTTGTTGCGTCCTTTTCGTCTTCTGCCCGGCGTTTTGCTTGGCGATTTGCCATTTTTGGCGGCTGCAGCCTGCTGTGGCTGACTCTTGGGCGTGGTCCCACCTGCTCCTGCGGTGCTCGCCCCCGAATTGGAGGTGTTGCTCTGCTTGCTGATCCGGTTGGCCGCACTCTGGCCACTGATCTTCTTCGACGGCAGCAGGTGCTGGCTGACCAGCTCCCCCAGGACACCCTGGTGCGCCAGCATCGAGAGGAAGGTGCACACGAACTTGTCGTAGTTGTGGGTGCGTCGACTGGCGTCCACCTTGAACATGTGCCGCCGGTCGTTTTCGTCGGCCAGGTGCTGCTCGTTGATGGCTATTTCGGTGTCCAGGTTCTTGAGCAGCGACTGCAGATCCCGTGCGGTGAAGGCGCTCGGCTCCAGTAGCGTGGTGGGCGTGTCCGGACGCTGTGAATCTCCGTTCCCCGATTCGCCCTGCTCGTCGGCTTTTAGGAGTTTTTGCAGAGTGCCGGACACAATGGCCTGGTTGGTGCGCAGCATCTTGAGCTTGTGGGTGATGGCAATGCGCCTGTCCGGCACCACGGCCATCAGGTTGAAGCGTATGTCCTGTTCACCGGTCGCTATGCCCAGCCTCTCCGCCATCACACGCCGGAACTTGTCCGTCCAGTCCTCGCTATCCTCCCAGCCCCCGTGATTCATGGGATACGGCTTGAGACCATCCAGTTCGAACAGCTGCCCGTTGATGGGCACGAAGCTGACGAAGTGGAAGGCCTCTCCGGTGAAGCGGCAACTGGAGACGCCGGCCCCGGTCCGCTCCAGGCGGCGCCGAGCCTGCGGCATTGCGTGGGAGTTGTGGGCACAGGCCAGCTCCGGAGTGTTGCCAATGGCCAGGCCCTTGTTCTCCGGACTCATGCCCTTGGTGTGGGCTTTCAGTCGACTCAGGGTGTCGCCCAACTGAAGGTTGTTCTCGTTGCAGTTCAGGAGGACGGAGAGGAGGGCGTGGGTGGCACAGCTATTGGGCACCACTTGCTGGGCAAAGAAAATGCTCGAAATCGCCTCCTCATCCTTGACAAAGATCTCGGCGGTTGTCTCGACTATTTTGCGCCTGGCACGCCGCTCTTCGATCCATCGGAAAAGGAAAATAAAGCCATAGGGGCTCTCAATGGGTTTCTGCAGGTCGTACACCTCCTCCACCTGAACATCGTGACCTGAAAGGGATAAGTGTTTCATTGGCTTATGCAGGGCTTGGTTTGGTTATCCCAACTTACAGCCAAAGTCCTCGAGCAGCAGGGTGAAGAGACCGGGATCAGATTCGAGTTCCAGCCATCCATCCGCCAGTTGGGCCATGGGCATGGCTCCAGAAGCGGTGGCAAGGAGCGAATTGTTTGTAGTCGCCGGTGTCGCCTGTGGGACATTGCCTCCTCCAGCGGCGTTCATGGTAGAAAACTTGTATTCTTTATACCAATCGATTCTTGGAGCGGAGTTTGCTTAGTTTACAGTGGCACAACCAATTTAAAAAAATTACTTAAAGATTGCGTTTTCATGAGCGATACTTGCAAATAGTTTGTATTGTTATGGCCACTCTAGAGATATCGATATCGGCACGAACAGTCGGCTAAGCCCTGCCAACTTGTTCCAATAGGCCTGTCAGCCCGTTCCCCGACAGCCCTGTCAACTTATCGCAATGGGCAGACGTCATGCGCCACTTCACAAAAGTTGACGGTTAAAGACCCGGGCTATTCAAAATCAGAACAACAAATTTTCAGCTCATGGCATGGCAAAAGAATGATGATTTCGTTAGTTGACGCTTATTTCTTCCACGTAAAGACTGAAATTGACTAAAAATCCGTTGAATTATTTATCTGTTAAAAAGTTAACATATTTCCTTTAATGTTAGTCGGGTTTTTTCTGGGGGAAAATGTATCAGAATCAACAAAGCTTGGACATAAACCATATTTGATCACGTTTGTAGAACATGGGTAGAATTGGTTTTTACAATCGAACACCCATGACCCAAACCAATTAAGCAATTTACAGCACTGCAATTTGAATTCAAAAGTAAACCGCCAAGAACGTTAGTGCAACATTTAATAAGATATAACATTTTAAGTAAATTAAGGTAAAGAAAAAGATTTTCGATAGTTCGTCAATGTTCTTGAGTTTTTCTAAGAAGCTTGCAGTAAAGGAATTTACATTTGCTCGAAATTTTAGTCCGTGTTTTAGGACAATAAATACGTTTTTGATACCGAATTCCTTAATGTTGTCTTCCTGCTGGAACCACGAACCGAGCACAAGGAAACGCAAAGAAAACCTGATGATCAATACTTCGCCAACCCAATTTACAAACATCCGAATTGAGGGATATCCCCGATATATTTATATTCGACATTTATGATAACTGTATAGCAATAAATATTTTCAAATACGGCTTTTTGTTTTGTTTTTCAAACTGTAGCATATACATCAAGTTCAAATATATATATTCGTTTATGTAAATACATTAATAATATTTTGATTTTGCAACCAAACGTCTTGCTGTTGTATGGTATTGGTATATGCTGCCCTAAAAGATTTATACATTTATTAAACTCCTTGTATAATAATAATAATCACATCTATAGATTTGTTAGAGCTTTAAATATTTGTCTTAGTTATGTCCATTTATTGTAAGCACGTTGAAACACATTTATGTATATGTTCATCTGTAGACGAGTAATGCGTGGAGAGAGAAGTCTCTGATAGTTTGTTATTTCTGGATGTGAGACTCGCAGAGATAGTTCCTCGGTGTGGGCTAAAATCGATATAATTATGGTATCTAAGTACGCACTCTACGCACATGCGAGTCGAACCGAATAGAAGCACTCTGGCGATGACTCTGAAGGACTAGCTGCCAATGTGAGCTCTGCTTTCCATACAATGTCAAGCGAATTAAATTACTTAGAAAGCTGGTTGTGGATTAACTACTTGTATGTCTTGGTTACGCATATGTATGTTTCGGTTATGATCACGTTTGTACACTTAAACACCCATAAAACTTGCAAATGTGTTTCTAAAAATCCCATTTCACACTGAACATTTAAAACGAAATAAATCGGGTCTCGGTCGGGCGCCTACTGCGATGGACTGAGTCGAAATTGTATATATATATATACAATATATATATATATATGTATCTCTTTAGGTATCTGGTAAACTCTAGTTGGCTGCTGCCGCCTCTCAGGGCGGACAGGAAAATCCATCAAAATATTATGTCTTTATAAGCGACTATTTAGTTTTGAATCAATCGTTTGATTTTCGCTAGTTCAGCATGGTTTGTATTTTTGTTTAATGTTTTTTGTTATTATTTTTTGGGCTCGTATTTTGATCTTCTCTCTCTGGGTTGCATTACCGATTTGTTTGTTATTTTCGATTTTCGATTTTGGTTTTTCTTTTTAAACGCACACAAAAAGACGTTAGGAAAACGCTGGGCGGCAGTCTGGAACTGTCCGCTTAAAGCCCGATCTCCCGCATCGCCCTGTACAAGCAGGGGTTCTTCAAGCACTCCCGAGGACCCAGCTGCCTGCCCGGGGATCCCCGCAGGATCATAAGGATGGAGCGGGCCGCCGACTGGCACTCGTTGCTGTCACCGCAAACGCCGTCCGCCTCCGCCAAATACTGATAGTCGCAGGCCACCTGCGAGGCACCCTGTAAATTAAAATGAAATTTAAATGAGTATAAACTATAATAAATATCTCATGGTAACCAGTTCTGAAACAATTTAGCAGAAGATCTAAGGCTGCTCTTTAAAAGGTGTTGAACCAAGTCAAAGTTTAACTACTGGTTGAGCTAAAAAATTTGACTGGTTAACTTTAAAAAATTAGTCTTTTATCAGTCTTTTAGATTTTGAGTGCCACATCCAGAAAACAAAATTCCCAAATTTTTAGGAAAAAGTTCAAAATAAAGTAAAAAAAAAAGAAAATCAGATATATTGGAAACCCTTTTGGAACGACCACTTACACATAGATAGCATATCTGGTGGACGCCGCAGAGTGGCAGGAGCTCCTGGTTAATGTCGCCGGAGATCAGATCCACTCCGCGACAGCGCTCCGCCATGGATTCGATGATGGGGCACTGGTTGGAGCCCACTATGTAGTTCTTGTTGCCCAGGTAGGCATCGTTGAGGGTTTCGTAGGGAGTGCTGCCCAGGCTGAGGGCCTCGTCCATGGTGTTTGGCTGCTCGGGATAGCGCAAGTAGCCACTGCGCTTCTTCTTTTCCATGTCTTTGGGGGGCTTTGCATCCCTTTGAGGATTTGGAAAGTAAGTGATTTCGCACAGAATCATTTAAAATTAAATTGTTAGCTCTTACTCTGCCAGTTCTTCGGGCTGCTCCTTCTTCACCGACTTCTTGGCCTGCCAGTAATTGGAGTCCAATGCGTTCTCCTCCGAATCCGGTTCGATGGCATTGCGCATGAGGTGGTTCTCGTTTTCCACCGACTTTCTTAGCCTGTCCAGGGCACGGCGCATCTTCTCTAGACTGTAGGCGGTGGCCAAACGGGAGAGGACATGCTCCTTAATCCTGCGAATGTCCTCTTTGCTGCTCAGCCCCTCGTGGGCACCCGTGTACTTGATGGTCTCGTCGATAATGAAGTCCTCGATGGACTGCAGCTTCTTGTCCATGCTCTCCAGTTTCTCGACATCGAAATCAAGCTTCCTTTTCTCCGCCTCGGAACTCTCATCGTCGTTGTCGTCATCATTATTGGTGCTGCTGTCCGTTTCGCTGCGCTTCTTGTGGTCCCTGTAAGGATACGAGAGCAATTGTATTAAATTTGAAAATCAGAAAGGAAGCAAACGTATATGTAAAAAACAATGAGCTATGTCGATTTTCCGCTGATTTTATTAGATCAATGGATTTTACGTACAAACTGACAGACGGACAGACTCTCCAAGTAATGCTGATCAATAAAATATGTACTTTATAGGTTCGGAAATTAAGTTATAACACCCTCTGTATGCGCACATTTACATAAATTTTTAACTAACTCATTCTTTTGGGCGGACTTCTTCTTGCGATCTAATCCAAAGTACTGCGACCAATCGATGGACTTCTTGGCCCGGAGCATTAGGTGACCCACAGTGGGGGCATGGAGATGTTTGGAGCCACCATTTGTGCCGGACAGACTGGCAGCAGCCCGCTTCTTCTTGCGCCGTCGCTCCTCCGCCTCCTCCGGCTCCAGGTCACCCTCGCCATCCTCCTCGTCGAACTCGTCGTGGTCATCCTCGTCGGAGCTCTCCTCACCCTCCTCGTCGTGCTCGTCCGCCTCCGGATCCTCGGCGTTCTCGCCATGCGCATGCTCGCTGCGCTTGCGGTGGCGATACTCGGGTGACATGCCCGGCACCACATGACCACCATGATGTCCGGCATGACCGCCATGCTGCACCATTTCGCCAGTTTCCGGGGGTGGAGATGTGGAGGTGTCCTTGGTTGTGACATTCACCCGCTGGAAGTTGATCTCCAGGCGCATATCGCCCAATGCGGTGGCCGTCGCTGGCGGGGATTCAGTCTGATGGGAGGTGGAGGTGGCCTTGGGCTGATCGTCCGCCGATCGCTTGCGTTTCTCCTCGGCATGTGACTTGCTGTCGCCCGGCTTGCCAAACAGCTCGCTCAGCTCCTGGGCCACTCGCTCATCGGTTCGGCCCAGCGGGGAATCCGGGTGCGAGTTGCTGGTGCTCCTCTTGGCCACCGGGAAGCGCTTCCTCTTGTCACCGTTGTACGGCAGCCACGGGAGAACCGGATAGGAGCGCTTCTTCTGCATCAGCAGGTAATACGGCGGCACTCGCATCCGCTTCTTCTGCTCGAACAATTCGGCATCCTGCTGCTCCGGCTCCTGTTGGCCTTTGGCCTGGTCCAGGTGGCGCCACCACTGACGCACTGCATCCCGATCCCGGGCTTCCTCGATCTCGTGTAGGAACTGCTCCGTCAGCTCATTGTGTGCGGGCTCAGCATTCAATGGCTGGCTCTCACGCTCACGGAAAGCCGAGGGTAGGGGTCCATCTGGAAGAGATTCGGGGAAAGGTTATATCTGGGCCCGGCTCTGTATTTTACAGAATTTATATTTATTTATTGGAATTGATAATATAAAGTTATGGCTTAAACGGTTCTTATAACTTGTGCTGAGCAAAATATTAGTATAGAGAATTTGTTAATTTACACAATACAAATTTAAAAGGATTGAAGTACTTTTAAATTTATTTATCTATTTAAAATATAGGTAAGACATAAGATAAATTACTATGTAATATCGATAGTAGAGAAGAAATATGTTTCTATGCAATGGTTGGTTGGCTTTCAAAATATTTATTGATTCTAAACTAAACACATCGTTGCAAAAGAAATAAAAAAATACAAAATCATATAATCTTGCTTTAAAGGTTGTTAGTATAGCCTATAACGTAAGTTTAAATTTTAAAAATCTGCCGATTTTCTGTGATTAGTTTGCCCAATCAATGAGCAATGACTTAGCTTTGACCTTGGGAAAACCAACAAAGAAGACTGTCGATAAATCTTGGCCATGCGTGTTGTGTGAGGGGCATGCATCAAGTTGTTGGGCTGGCCATTAAATCAAATGACAGGAAGACGGACAGGCAGGATCTGTCGGTCCTGAGCCGCTTCCAGTTGATTGCATTCATCATCGGGACTGTGGAGCAAGAACCCATCCTCCCACTCACCACTCACAAGTTAATCGGAGCTAAGTGGTTTTAGCCAGGCCATTGTTGGCCTTATCCACTCCATACTCCCACTTCCACTTCCACTCCCACTTCCACCATTGGCGCCTCAAGTGGACACATGCTCGCAGTCACACATAGATATCTACAGTTTGGGTCAGCGTTATAGCACTTAAGGATTAGACCCATAAATTATTTTCGGTGATTCGCATTCAAAAGGAACCGCTTGAGTGAGGTGCTAAAACTTATCCATTAGTGTGGTCCTAAATCAAGCTTTTCCTAAAAGGATTGTTTTTAAAATTCGGGGTTCATCTCATAAAAGCTTTGGACTTACACTTAACATAAAAATATGAGTATTGTTATGCTTAAAATGCATAATCAACATTTGTGTGGAGAGCAACTAAATAAAAATATACAAGTGTATATGTTTTTTAATATTTTTATTTTTTTAGTAATAGTTTGCAATTGATTTTCGAAATGAATTTGCGAAATTCTTTCAAAATAAATGTTCTCAAAATATAATACTTATGACATCAAAAATAATTTAAACTCAGTGTGATAAATTACAATTTCAAAATTTCTGTTAGGATCTAATACGTACATTGGTTGTATTTACAGAAATGGCGATTTATTTCCTTGGTAATTGTTAATTGTTTTATTAGATTATATTGATTAACGCAGGTTATATGTGCATTGTGGGATTATAAACTAAACTAGTCAACAAACTTTGGCGAGAATCTAATAAAATAGTGCGTGGTAAGGTACTTATTTAACATCAGCAGGGCTAACTTTTTATATTTATATATTTAAATATATGACGGGATGCAGTGCTATTTAAAGGACCTCCATAGTGAGTATCCATTTCCTAGTGCGTGCTTTTGTGTGCTCATATTCTTTACTTACCGAACTGCTCGTCACGTTCCCGAAAAGAGGAGAAGCGCTTTCTCTTCTCATCGGCCAGCGGCAGAATATTCGCGCCCAAGTCTCCGCCGTCCTCGAATCCCAGTCCCAGTCCCAATCCCAGACCCAAGCCCAATCCCAGGTTGTGATCCGGACCGTAGTTGTCCTCGTCGCGTTCTAAGTACTTGCCAAGTGCCTTATTAACTCGATGGCGATTCCGATTCCTACTCTTGCCAAACAAATCGCCATCTGTGCGGTTTTCAGGGGGGTGAGGTGTTGAGGTGGTGTGCCCAAAAGAGAAAAGAAACAACGGTACATGTGACAGTGACTGGGACTGTGTGTGGGGGAAAGTCCGGAAAATCTGTGCTTGGGGTTTCGGCAATCCAAGGCACGTGCACTCCACATGCGGGTCTCCTACTCCTCCAACCTCCATCCTTCCTGTGATTGATATCACGTTCAGATTTCGACCACGACTTGCGTTTATATAATCTCGATGTCTCGATACATGCAGATGACAGCCCAATCCAAACCCCAGTCACATAAATCGAATAATGATAACATTTGAGCATATCATTAAGTTGGCATATGGATAAGGCTGCATGGTTAAACAAGATTGCTCCGCCCCAAACATACATTTCTTGTACATCTTATGAGTCTCATAACTTGTATTTTTCTTGATTTAAAGTTGTTCTGGGGTTTTTACTTGATTTAACACTAAATAATTTAACTACGCAATGTATTTTATGCTTAAGGCACACTAAAACTTGCTGGTCATGCCCGAGTAAAAAGTTAAGCTTCAAACTAAAATCGCAACTTGAATTTAAAGATCTATTTTAAAAGATTTATTTAAAGGCTCTGGCATTGTTAAGTTCAACCGACAAAAGTTTTTGAATAAACACAAATAATAAAGACGTAGAATGAAAAAAATAAGGATAATAATACCAGTCTTTAACAATCATTTATTAATTATGTTTTTTCTAATTTTCTTTAACCAAAGCAAGATAATAGCCTAGCAAATATACAGGAACGGTCTAAATATTGATATACCTTCTACAAAATAAATAAGAGAGGCTAAAAGGTGCCGCCTTGCGTTAACTTGAAGGTTAATCAAAGTTGAAATTTCTTGGGGGAATTGCTTGATTAACTTATGCCAGTTAACGTGTGCGCAAAGGTGAAGGTCTCCACGGTTCCCTAAGGGAAACCAATTTCCCGACAAGATTTTTACTCGCCCCCCCACTCCACTTTCCCCACTACTCACCTTCGTCCCAGTCATTCAAAGAGGGTGGTGGCGGAGCATTCAGCGGGTACTTGGCCGCCTCCCGCCGATGCAGCTCATCCACGGCCGCCTGCAGCGAAAAGGCGGCGGTGCGCTGTGGACTCGCCTGGATGCACTGCATCACCGCCAGCAGCAGCGCCACCATCGCCGTCAAGGGGACCAGCGAGGTGGCACCTCCGGGGCCTACAAATCGGTTGGCCATTGGACTCGCTAGCAACTGCCTCCCACTCAATAAAATGCGGTTCTAAATCTGCAATAAATGGAAATATAATGATTAATTTATAAACACATGACTTTTTTTGTTTAAATTACAGAATATTTATTAAAGAACATTTTGATATACTTAATATACAAAAACTTTGTTCTGAATGAACTTAATACATATAAAAAACGTTGTTATAAAAACCGTAGAATAAGCTTTTTTATTTAACTTTTTTTGGCGACATTTGTTATTAAAATGATTGTATTATTTGATCGATATAAAAAACAGTAAAATAGCTATTTTTCTTACTTTTTTTGCGAGCAAAATCATGAACATGACAAAAGTATTTGGTCAATACAAAAACCATTATTACCTTACATAAAACAGCCTTGAATAGAACGTTTTTTCACAGGATGGCTTAAAAACAGGGTTAGAGAAAAACCAGTTAAAACGCTTGAAAAAAAAGGTATTTAAACTGGTTTTAATGCCCGACACGTTTCCGACAGGTGCGTAACAAAGTTTTAATTACATTTGCACTTTAAAGTGAGTACCTTTCCTGGCATGTACGTATGTATGTGTGCCAGAGTGTGGGTGGGGTGTTGGTTGGTACTTGTGGTTGTGTATCAGGTGTCATCTTTTCGCGGCCACTTGATGGCGTGTGAAATTCCATATTTGGCCGCTTAATTATGCAAACGAGCAGCTGTTCCCCGAATTCCGGGCTGCAAAAGGTATTTGAATAATCTGCCCATCACGGCAGACTAACTAATGAAGCAAATCCCTCAGTCTCATGCATATACAAAGGATCCTGGCCCATATATAAATCAATAAAATTCCAATGTGCCAGCAAATACCCAGCATCCTTGGCAAATGAAAGGGGGTTGGGGTAAACTTCATCGCAGCACTTGTATTTTCTCCCGGACTTTCTTTCAGCATTCTTGGCCGCTGACAAAAGGCAAGCTTACAATTATGGGAAAGTTGAATTGCTGCTCGGATGCCAACTGCCATTGAAATGCCCATCCCGTCTCTAATTCTCCGTTTTATCCACTTCTTCTCGGTTTTATGGTGACGCACATAAGTATGCTACGCATTCCTTATAGCAGAATATATGCCTTGGAAGGAAAATATATATGGTAATCACATAGCCACTCCCACTCCCTCTTCCACTCCCTCTTCCACTCGCTCTTCCACTACCACTTTCCACTTATCGCGTACCTGTGGCCACGTTTTCTTTTCATTTTCCCCCCATTAAATGTCAAGGCAGCCGTCGCTTTTCATTCGACGTTCTTTGGCTTTTCCTGCGCTTCTCTATGGCTATGGCTATGGCTATGGCCACTCCTGCTCTGGTGAAGAACCCTATTTGCGTCTCGCCTGCAGCTGTTGGCTCGTTTCTGCCCCTTTCATTGTATTATTGCTGCTTGGCTGGCTTTTGTCTAAGACAAGGAGTCCCCTAGCTGTTGATGTTTTTGTGTCTGTTCCCCGGCTCTAATCCAGATTAAACGCAGCTGCATAAAGGAGATTTCATTTTCCCTCAATTGCAATAGTTTCGCTAGGGACTTGCCTGTTGCTTGGGGTGATGCGGTACCGATAACTTAAGCCATCGTCTAGCTTATGGAAAACACAAATTGTAAAAGAAAAACTAAATATTACGATACTTCAAAGAAGTTCATAATTATTATCCCTTAGATTAAACCTTTTAAAAATTGTACTTGTATAGTCAGAACAAACTAATATTTAACCAAAATATCTTATTAACATATATTTTATCATATAAGCATAAGGAATGCCAAATTATCAAAACTGAAAGTCTGTTCTCATTCTGCGAGGTTTAATGAATAATCATTTAAATCAAGTCTTCTTCCAATTAGAAATTCTAACTAACAAAGTTATTGTTGGCGACGATTAATATGATTTATGGCTTGAGTGGAGAGCAGGACTTATGATTAATGTAAACTACTTTCTCTAAAGCAGATGCCTTCAATTCATGAAAACTTAAATCTATAGGCGCACGGGGCGTATGACTAATATTGATTAATGCGAGCAGGACATATGATTATTATAAATACATGGCCTTTTACAGTTTAAGCCTAGCAGTGCACATTCCTTTGATTAAGGAAATGAAAACCTAAGTTGGCTCACATCTTGAATGTCGCACGGGGCGTATGATTAATATTGATTGATACCGCCGTCGCCTTTGGTTTACTACATCAAACGATAAAGTCAGAGCTAATAATATATTGAGTTTCAATGGAACAAACGCTCTTTCTTGCCAATCAGATTTCCAGACCCAACAAATGCGACCCAGCAGGGCATTTAAATTAGCGCCCTAATTGAATTTGTCGCAGCAACCATGGATACTACTACTCTATACATACAAATATACTCTATATATATATCCATGGGTCCTTTTGCGCCAGAAAAAAGATCCTTTTCGGTAGAATTGGGCCAAATTGAATCGGGCTTTTTGCCGGCGACTAAGTGAATGCATGCTGTCAGCAGAGGAAGCGGCTAATTAGGGGGCCGGGAAAAGCTTTTTGGCTTAAAATATTTAAAGCCAACGAAGGAGATGTCCTGTGTCCTGTCCTCGGGGAAGTTGCCAACTTGTTAGCCAACTTTTCGCGAGCATGTGTATGTATCAGTTATTCAGGAAAGTGCCCGAGGTATTTTGTCAACAGGCCAGCAAACAATTCATCAGCTCCGTTGTCCAATTAGTGAATGCGGAGAGTTGCAAATAAATTGTACGCAATTATTTTGCTTCATTCTTTTCCTCCCACACACAAATTTACCTCTATATATGTATATATATATATACACACGCCCACCCGCGAAATCAATGGAAATGGAAAATCCTGTACAGCATTTGCGTAATTTTACCACCGCACACAAACACTGGCCAAAAAGTTTGCACTTTTCTCAACTCACTTGGATTGGTTTGACTTTTTTGTTTGTTTTCGCGACGTTCGAGTGCAGTTTTCCGTGGGAATTTTTCACTATTTGCCAGACACTTTTCACAACATGGCGTCACGCCTACGCCAACGCCAGATGGGAAACGCTCGTCGCTGCCAGCCAGTAGCCACTGTACCTGTGCCCAGCTCTGTGCTCAGCCAAGGCGGAACCAAGAGTGTCGGCCAGTCTCCGGAGCTTCCATGTTTTATACGGGACCCACGAGGGCCGACAGGACCCGAAGCTCGCCGAGAGAGAGAGAGCCTAGTCGTCGTGTGTGGGAGTTGCAAATCGGGAGGTGAAAAAAGGGGCAGAGAGAGAGAACCACTCGAAGCTTTCCGCTGCAGCCAAGCTTCGCTCAGAAAGAGATGGGGAGAGGGTGCAGATGGCCAAGACTTACACCGTGCAAAATACAGTACTTATTTGTTTGCTTTTTTGTTTTAAGGTAATTAACTAAAACCAAAAAAATTATTGTCATTGTCAAAAGAATGATTTGTCAACAAAATGAGTATTAAATTAATACAAATCAAAATAAAACTTATGATATATATACATATAATAGTATAATATATATATATATTAATATTTATACTTTAATACAGTCTATAGTTTTGCGTTTTGGCTGTTGATATTTCAAAATGTTCAAATGGATTTGGTAAACTAGGTTCCGAGAATACACTCAAAATGAAAGTGTGTAGCTACTTTCCTGTAGACGAAACTGAAATTCCTGCGTCTTTCATTGTATTTTAAAATTTGTGCTAATTTTATTTTGTTGTTTTTTATTTTTTTGAACTCGGAAAATGTCGGCTGCCAAACAGTTTTTAGTGGGCATTGTCGCTGCTATGGGAGCCCTTTGCCTGGGCACCGTGATCGGGTGGTCGGGGCCGGTGGAGGATGAAATCAAGAGTGGCCAGGCCTTCGATTTCGTTCCCAGCACGACGGAGTGGGGCCTGGTGGGCTCCCTAATGACGCTGGGCGCGGCGTGCTCCTGCATCCCGGTGGGCGTGCTCATCGGCAAGATCGGACGCAAGGTGACGATGCTGTGCCTGCTGCCGCCCTTTGTGATCGGCTGGGCGCTGATCATCCTGGCGGTCCACATCGGAATGCTGTTGGTCGGACGCTTCATTGTGGGCTTCTGCGGAGGCGCCTTCTGCGTGGCCAGTCCCGTGTACACCACCGAAGTGGCCGAGGTCAAGTATCGCGGCGTCATGGGCTGCTTCTTCCAGCTGCTGATCGTCCACGGCATCCTGTACTCCTTCGTGGTTGGAGCCTTTGTGAACACTCTTTGCTTGGGCATAGCCTGCGCCATTTGGCCCATTATCTACTTCCTGCTGTTCATGTGGATGCCGGAATCGCCAGTGTACTTGGCTCAGAAGGGCAAGACCGAGCGGGCGGAGAAGGCGCTGAAGTTTCTGCGCGGCAAGGATGCGGATGTGGGTGGTGAGCTCAAGGACATGGCAGCCGAGGGCCAGAAGGAGCAGACTAGCGTCGGGAAAACGCTCTGCCGCAAGGTCACGCTCAAGGGCCTCTTCCTCTCCATCACGCTCATGATCTTCCAGCAGTTCACGGGCATCAACGCGATCGTCTTCTACACAACATTCATCTTCATGTCGGCGGGATCCTCGCTGGAGCCCCGTTTCGCCACGATTGTTGTGGGCATCGTAATGGCCGCCTCCACCGTGATCTCGATCTTCCTGATCGAACGACTGGGTCGCAAAATACTGCTGCTGATATCGGCTTTCATGATGGGCACCAGCAGCCTGATCATGGCCCTCTACTTTGGCCTGCTTATGGACTCGAATGTCGGTTGGCTGGCCCTAATGGCCATTTGCATCTTCATCATCGGCTTCTCCGTTGGTTTTGGCCCAGTTCCCTGGGTCATGATGGCTGAGCTTTTCGCGGAGGACGTTAAGGCCATTGCTGCATCGATTGCCGGAACCACAAATTGGCTTGCCGCATTTGTCGTTACTTTGCTGTTTCCGGTACTCAACGAGCAAATCGGAGCAACCGCCTGTTTTGGAATATTCTTTGGCTTCGCTGTGACCGCCTTTTTGTTTGTACTCTTCCTGATTCCCGAAACAAAGGGCAGGACCATCAACGAAATCCAGGCCAAGCTGGGTGAAAAGAAGGAGTAGTCATAGAAATCTGATCTAAAATTCCAAAAATTCCTAAAAGCAGAACACATTTCAAAATGCGAAATATCTGGAATCTCTGTAGAACAAGGTATTTTCAGTAAAAAATTTGCTGTCAAATATAAGTCACGTTTGTCAGCTCACAAATATAAATCATTATAAATAAGTTCCGGCTCAAGACTAATCAAACAAAAACACCTCATGAAGAGGTAAAAATGTCATGACGATACAAACAAATTTCTGATTTCAAATTTTGTGAGGAAATTAATAATCTTTTTACAATGTTCATTTTTGTTCCGCTTTAGCACAGAATTTAAGCTTTTTTTCCACACCGGCATTTATTTTTCCATCGTGCTGAATACCAAAAATTCATAATTTTTCAAAAACTTTTGAAAGTTGCATTATTTTAAGCGACTCTAAAAGTACTGCAGTCCGTAGTGAACTTTGTTATCAAAAAGCCACACCACAAGTTCAGTGCAAGTGCCACCTGTTGGCCCTGACTGTTTGGGTAAGTACATTTACATATGGCTGCTGACTTACCATTCCGTGGCAGCTTAATCCTAGCAGAATTAAATACCATACGACTCGGGGCAAGGAAAGTCAAACCGCACTTCACCGAAACCAAACACGAACTGCAAATGAGCTGGCATTGCACCCAAAATAAATGCACCTTGATGGCGGATGCAAATAGTGGGTAAACAGCAAAAGGCCAGGTAAATGGGCAAAAGCTTCCCGCCTCACTGTCCCGCCTCACTGTTTTCCCAGCGGATTCGGGACTTTGGTTCGATTTCCCAACCACTGCGCATGGCCAGGAACATGTGATGTGATGTGGTGGCTGGCCGAAAGCGGAGCTGCAGCTCCAGGCCGAAAGCACATAATTATTCCGGGAACGAACTGTTGCTCTCCCATCATCAGGATGGCTGGGTCTGCATGGGCCACCTGTTACTCCGCCCGCTCAATTATTTCCGCCGATGGTCTTTTCAACTATTGGCGTTGTGTACATATGTGCCTTTGTGGTGCGTTTAAATGAAAAACATCAGATTTCTATTGCATTTCCCTATATAGTTTTAAATGCTTTATAAATTGTCCTATTCCGGAGTCTGAGAAATAGGTTTGGATTTTCTTTAGGTAAACGACATCCCCTTCTTTTCCTCGCTATTAATGTTTAAGTGTTTTCAAATCTTTAAAACAAAACAAATTTCTTTAAAAATATTATATACTTATATTATTCCTTACATAAAAATCTAAAAGTCATCAAAAAATAACTCATACGACCTGTGGCTTAAGCATTGTTCAAACAAATCCCAGAAAATAAATCAATACTTTTCAACAAAAAAAATCCATACTCATATTTATGTTTACTCGAATGGTAATTTGCCCAAGCTGCTGTCAAATTGAATATAAATCACAACAAATTGGTTTTTATGAAAAATCAAGCTTACAACAGTAGAGCTTTCAATGTACATACAATCTAATGTGCATGTATGATTTGCCTACATATGTATGACTGTACTGATGACTGTACTTTTGATCCCAGTGAATCCTCAATCGCATCTGCAGCCCACCAGCAATTATTTTGACGTCAATCCCGTCCATCTATTCCCCTTCATGTGATGTCCAACTGTCCGAATTCAGGGAAACGAGGTGGCTGCTGTCCAGATGCCCAAATAGGATGGGGAAATCCGGAACTCGGTGCTTTCCTGCGGTTTCCATGGCGATGCTCCAGATGTTCCTGCCCAGGTCAGGACACCATGCTGATGCTTGACTGCTCCCGGTCCGGATATTAGAAACTAGCTGCATTGCAGTCCACTTACCTTTGACAAAATTATTTGTACAATTTGTAATACACAGTAAGCTGTAATTGCAATTAGGACGCTACATCTCTTAATCTCCTTTCAATGGGTCTTTAAAATAGGGATAAAATGTTAGGACACACAAGCATAGAAAAGAAATTCCTCTAAAGTTATACTAGATTTTTATTCACTTTTTCGTCGTATAGTTTAAGTTGAAGGAGTATATACAAAATAAATATGATTTTTGTGCGATTGCGTGATTCGTTTTGAGATTAGGTTATGAGTGACTAAGACTAAAGGGCTACGAACTAATGGATCCACGCTGGCGGTGAATCGCATTCACGAGCAGTCGCGGGGACTACTAAAGCTAAGACTGGCATTTCCGTCCAGGAATAATCTCTCATTTTCACACCTTGAAGATGCCAAAGTAGCTTCGATTGTTTGCCTCCCGTAGGACGACATTGCGATCGTTGTGAATGTCCTTCAGGTGGATCCTCTCATTGCGCTCCAAGTGGATGAGTCCGCTGGTGTGGCAGGTGTGCACTTTGTGGGGCATGTTGGTGGGCACCGTGTTCAAGCACTGCAGGAAGGGCGTGTCTCCTTGGAAGACGATGAACCCGTTCTGGTCGTGCGAATTATTGTAGCATATCTGGGCGTATACGTAATATAGGCCCGGAGTGAGCACCGTCAACACGCCATCATGCGCTTGAAAGTGTCCTTCATATGAGTTTTTCACGTGATCATTGCCAATGTACATATCTCCATGATAGCCTTGATAGGGATAGGTAATTAATTAATTTAATTATATATTAAAGAGAGCTTAGGCATTCCCTTACCCATATTCCCTAGGTGACGCTTCCTGCTGCTCAGGTGGAAATGGGCTGCTGGCCGCGAGTCATCGGATCTGGCTGAAATAAGAGATTCACCTGCAAATTAACAGAGGTGCAAATAGAGACTTGGTATTCTTTTTCTGCCAATTGTTTCGATTTTCTTGACTACACACCTTTGCGAACTAAGTGACGGCGCCGGGAATGCATCCTGCGTCGGTGGTGAAGTTTAGCGGAGCTGTAGGTAAAAAAACAAATTAATTATCATAAATAAAACTTTAAGAGTTTTTGTTTAAAGAAATGCACATGTCTAATAACCAATACAACCAATACAAAATGTAGTTTATTTAAATGAAATATATACTTATATTATTTTTCATAAAGAGATTTATGGAGAACTCTTTACTCACCTCTCCTTTGAAACTGCCTCATTGGATGGCTTTTCCTCCAGCTCCGTGTGATTTCCCCTTATATTCTGCTGCTCATTGCGAACATCGGCAATCGAACGAGATTTTCTGTGATGAGATAATCAAACATTATACCTTTTGAGTATCCGTAATCCCAGAAAATCCCCATCATGCTTACCTCTCCAGCTTCTTTCTGTGGGCATTATAGCTGGTAAAGTCGTCAAACACATTATCGTCATTGGAGGCCGAGGAGGCACTATCCGTTTCGCCCTCGCCCTCTGCGGTGGTCTCAGATGTGGGCGTGGTCTGCTCAGTGTGCTGATTTTGCAGCTTGTTTATCATATCGGTGTAGTCATCGTAGTCCGTGGTACCATCCTCCAGGGAGCTATAGTTGTCGTCGTCCTCCTCCTCATCCCCAGTGGGATCCAGACCGTCGACATCGTCCTCGTCCTCGTCCTCATCATCCGTGAGGCCATCCACCTTTTTGGGAAAGTCGATGAGCGCATTCTCGTACTGCAACGGAGAGATGGGGTCAACATTTTGGGTCAAAACACTTGGCCAAATACGTGACTGCAGCTGGCACATATCAAACATTCAGTTGGGAGGTTCATTTTTAGACGCACGCCCGCAGCAAAAGCTGTTTCGTCATCATTCTAATTGATGGCGCCTCCCTCAAAAACGTATTATATATGCATACTGTACAATTTATATTTAAAGACGAACAAAGTCCCAAGAGAACCGCTTCCACAGATGCCCAGCCATCAAAATATAAATAAATCCTAAAATCTTGAAACGATGTCTGGCCATTAGGCCATTTCATGATCCGATTTGATCCGATCAATCGTCACATAAAACCAATAGCAATCGCTCGCCTTGAACGACTATATCTACAGATAGGCTGCAATAGTTTTCCTGCTTTATTGGGGCTTTTGCCTTGTGTCACTTGGGGATTTGTATCTCATAAATTACTTGGTCCGGCTGGCGCCTCATCTGCGTCAAATGTATCTCATATATTAATTAAGTGTTTCTCTGAGTAAAGAGCCATTATAATAAAAACAATCTATCAGTATTCCCCACAGGCTTTTGGTACAGCAGCGTAGAAAAAAGAAACAGAATTAAAAAACAGACGAAAACGCTCTGAATTTATATTTTAGCACATATTTCTATAAATATTTGTGTATTTCCCACACAATAACCACATATATCTGGGCATTTTTGGGGGCATTCTTTTTAAAAGAGAAATACAAGTCTTACGGACTAGAAAATACCTTATGAGATCTCTTTGCTTTAAGGAAATGCGTTTAGTTGTATCTTAAATTTGCTTGTACTTCACACCTTAATCGCAAAAACGTACACAATAACCCCAACCCTAGGTACCCCTATTAAAAACTCAAGTACTCGACCCAGAGAATAACAAAATTATTTCCGACTTTGTAAACAATCCGAAAGATCTGTATTTACCGCAGACAAATGTTACAGCCTGCCCATTGAAAAATATAAATATTGATGCTGAAGAGTGATTTTTACAATAGCTCACCTCCTTTTGGAACTCGTCAAACTCATCCAGATAGTTGATGCCCAATCGCTGCTGGAGATGATCGACGACTCGCTTCAGACTCTTCAACTCCTTGTCCAGATGCGTGATCCGCGTTGTCTGCCAGATCTGGAAGGAATTTCAATTGATATAGACTTATCTTAATTCGTTTCTAATCATCAAGTCGTTAGCACTTTGCCAATTAATTAAATAAGCCTCAATTAAACATCCATACTTGGTGCTCAGGCCCAGCACATCACATAACACCCAGTGCCGCGAACTTTTGACACCCGAAAAATATAAAAATTATAACTGAACGAACAGATAGAGGCGAGGTACCGACATCGCCACTCAGCCACATAATCTGCTTAATGGATCATTAAAATTCGGGCCGAGCACAGACCTTATATACACAGACACTTTTCATGTTTCGACTGCCACCCGAAATCAAAAAAGAATGGCTCAACTAAAGCCACTGTGCGCACTGGGAGCAAAAAAAAACACAAATAAAAACTTGTACTGAATTCTTGTATAAATTATGGACAGTACGGCGACCCAAGAAACTTGTTTGAGGCCCGTGTTTTGG